TCAAACCAAATGTCAAGTTTGTGGAGTCTTCATGACATGAGAGAATGCTGTCAAGGACATAGTTTCAGATTTTCTGACTAGCAGCCAGCATTTAGAAGACCCATTCTAGTTGCCAATACATAACATGATGATCATAACACAACCACAGAGTGTTTTAAGGTAATCTGGCCAGTAAAGCATTATTTTACCAAAGGGTGGTCTCTGAATCAAATACAGCCTTTGGCAAGACTTTTACCTTACAATTGAAACCAGACATGTTTTCAGTTCATTTTTTGGGTTACTACTGTTCAATGGTGATTTACAAGAGAGTGTGAGCTATGGCAATCTCTCACGCAACTTCAGATATGCTCTAAACGAATGCACATTTAGAAATCCCCGTGCTGTAAAACAAGAGTTTCGTAAGAAAATAATATTTAAAGAGAAATCATCACAAAAGGAATGCTCAGGATTCTGTGCCCAGCAGCCTTTCCCTGGCAGTCCTGATAAAGCCCTCCTCACTAGGTTCGCAAGCATCTTTCTAGCCATCTTTCACACATTGCAAACAGCTACAGAAGCAACAAAAATGATGGACACATATATGGCAAAGCACAGCTCTGAATGCATCAAGTAAATCAGAAATGGTTGTTTAAGCATCCTCCATTGCTCAGTGACATTTCACTGAGATTCAGCTTCCAAGGAGCATTTGAGTCATTCCATTTTTTGTTTTGTTTTAATCCTAGTCTAAAAATACGTTGTGTACAGAAGGCAGACAAGTTCAATTCACCTTTAGTGGGTAGCATTTGAGTTACATATTAAACAAAGGAATATTATCACCAATGATCCCAATGCACAGTAAGAAAAGCAAATATGGTAGGCGACCAGATTGGCTTACCAGGGAAATCCTTGGCTCTCTTAAACACAAAAAGGAAACTTATAGGAAGTGGAAACTTGGACAGATAACTAGGGAGGAGTATAAATATATTGCTCGAGAATGCAGGGGAATAATCAGGAAGGTGAAAGCGTAATTGGAATTGCATCTAGCAAGGAATGTGAAGGGTAACAAGAAAGGTTTCTACAGGCATGTTAGCAATAAGAGGGTTATCAGAGAAGGTGTGGGGCCCTTACTGGATGAAGGAGGTAACCTAGTGACAGATGACGTGGGAAAATGCTTTTTTTGCCCCTGTCTTCACAGACAAGGTTGGCTCCTAGCCTACTGCACTAGATAACAAAGTGTGAGAAGGAGGTGGGCAGCCCCCGGTGGAGAAAGAACAGGTTAAGAACTATTTAGAAAAACTAAATATACACAAATCCATGGGGCTGGATTTAATGCATCCGAGGGCACTGAGGGAGTTGGCAAATGTCATTGCAGAGCCTTTGGCCATTATCTCTGAAAATTCATGGAGATTGGGAGAGATCCTGGATGATTGGAAAAAGGCAAATGTAGTGCCCATCTTTAAAAAAGGGAAGAAGGACAATCCAGGGAACTACAGACCAGTCAGCCTTACCTCAGTCCCAAGAAAAATCCTGGAGGAGCTCCTCAAGGAATCCATTTTGGAGCACTTGGAATAGGGGAAAGTGACCAGGAATAGTTAACATGGTGAACATGGATTCACCAAGGGCAAGACTAATCTGATTAGCTTCTATGATGAGGTATCTGGCTCTGGGGACAAGGGGAAGTCAGTGGATGTGATATACCTTGACTTTAGCAAAGCTTTTGATACGGCCTCCCACAATATTCTTGCCAGCAAGTTAAGGAAGTATGAATTGGATAAATGGAATGTAAAATGGATAGAAAGCTGGTTAGATTGTTGGGCCCAACGGGTAGTGATAAACGGCTCAATGTCTGGTTGTTGGTTGGTTTCAAGGGGAGTACCCCAAGGATCGGTTCTAGAGCTGGTTTTGTTCAACATCTTTATTAATGACCTGGATGAGGGGATGGATTGCACCCTCAGCAAGTTTGCGGATGACACTAAGCTAGGGGGAGAGGGAGATATGTTGGAGGGTAGGGATAAGGTCCAGAGTGACCTAGACATATTGGAGGATTGGGCCAAAAGAAATCTGATGTGGTTCAACAAGTACAAAGTGCAGAGTCCTGCACTTGGGATGGAAGAGTCCCAAGCATTGTTACAGGCGGGGGACCGACTGGCTAAGTAGTATCTCAGCAGAAAAGGACTTGGGGATTACGGTGGATGAGAAGCTGGATATGAGTCAACAGTGTGCCCTTGTAGCCAAGAAGGCTAATGGCATATTAGGGTGCATTAGGAGGAGCATTTCCAGCAGATCTAGAGAAGTGATTATTCCCCTTTATTTGGCACTGGTGAGGCCACATCTGGAGTATTGTGTACAGTTCTGGGCCCCCCAGTATAGAAATGTCGATGCATTGGAGAGGGTCTAGCCGAGGGCAACAAAAATGATTAGGAGCACATGACTTACAAGAAGAGACTGAGGGATTTGCACTTATTGAGTCTGCAGAAGCGAAGAGTGAGGGGGGATTTGAGAGCAGCCTTCAACTTCCTGAAGGGAGGTTCCAAAGAGGAAGAAGAGAGGCTGTTCTCAGTAGTGACAGATGGCAGAACAAGGAGCAATGGTCTCAAGTTACAGTGTAGAAGGTCTAGGTTGGATATGAGAAAAAACTGTTTAAATGGGAGGGTGGGGAAGCACTGGAATGGGTTCCCTAGGGCAGTGGTGGAATCTCCATCCCTAGAAGTTTTTAAGTCTCCACTTGACAAAGCCCTGGCTGGGATGATTTAGTTGCGGTTGGTCCTGCTTTGAGCATGGGGCTAGACTCGATGACCTCCTGAGGTCTCTTCCAGCCCTGGGATTCTATGATTCTAATGGAAAAATTTTGTTCCACCTATCACATCATTTGAGCCCATTTGCTATCATCTGGCTCAACTACATTTCCAGCAACTATACATTGAAATTCTAATTTATGTCGGCTGATTTTTTTATTCCAAATAAGGAATTAGATAGATATTGCTGATGTTACAGGTAGTGACAGGACATGTTATCGAGCTAAGTGTGGAATACCACTACACTATGCCTGGTTTTAACACAGGGAAAACACTGTCTGGAGACATTTATCACCCTCACAGTCTCAGGTTTGGAGGTAGATCTGGAGGCATGAGCCAGGGAGTTCTGCTGTATTGGAGGTGAATCTGCAGATTGCCTGGATCTAAGAACCCATCCTGAGAGACCTTTCTTCATTCTAAGTTTGAGTCGGCCTCTAAATTGATTTCCCTAATGGAACTGGTGAAGACCCTGGCTTTGAACATTCCTCCCATGCCAAAAAGACAGACTAAGATTTAACATCCATCAATGGATCTGAATGCCTTAGAAATGAGCTAGATACATTGAGCCTTCATGATCCAAGATGACTTGACAGTGCCAGGATACACCTAGATCGGGATAGTCTCCTATACAATAAAGAGAACTGTGTGCACTTTGATTTTTAGTGCTTTTATGAGACTTCTTCCTTAGAGAGGGTCTGAGTTCTTGAAAACAGGTTTTTTTCCCCCAGAGACACAGCTAAGAGCATTCATAACTCACAGTACAATGAATAAAATGCCAACTGGGAAAATTTCCCCTTTACTTTGGAGATGGATCTGACAATTTAACATATCTAAGAAAATATAAATGTCCAGTATTTTCTAAATAAGATGTAATATAGATTGTGATGTAATGCCAAGAGTATCCGGTATTTTTGTTGAAACCATCTGGAAACCCTATCCTTATAGTTTGCATGTAGGAACATTTATTTTTTTCATATGTCTTATCTGTAATGCTTTCACCACAGGAATACAAGTGCTTGCTTAGAGCAGTGTGGTAATTTATAACTGGTGGACATTACATTGTTCATTGCTTCTGGAGAGAAAGCAAAGCACAGCTGCTGGCCTGTTAGGAAGTCAGGCTTGCTGGGAACCTCACAGTGTAGGAAGGGAACTATGGGGCCATTCAGGGGGTAGAGAGATGTGGCCTCTCTACCCAAAAGAGGTCATGGCTGAAAAGCCAGGAATCTCCTTCTGTATTAGGGTATGTCTACACTACCCTCCTAGTTCGAACTAGGAGGGTAGTGTAGACATACCCTAATACAGAAGGAGATTCCTGGCTTTTCAGCCATGACCTCTTTTGGGTAGAGAGGCCACATCTCTCTACCCCCTGAATGGCCCCATAGTTCCCTTCCTACACTGTGAGGTTCCCAGCAAGCCTGACTTCCTAACAGGCCAGCAGCTGTGCTTTGCTTTCTCTCCAGAAGCAATGAACAATGTAATGTCCACCAGTTATAAATTACCACACTGCTCTAAGCAAGCACTTGTATTCCTGTGGTGAAAGCATTACAGATAAGACATATGAAAAAAATAAATGTTCCTACATGCAAACTATAAGGATAGGGTTTCCAGATGGTTTCAACAAAAATACCGGATACTCTTGGCATTACATCACAATCTATATTACATCTTATTTAGAAAATACTGGACATTTATATTTTCTTAGATATGTTTCCCGAACAGAAAGCTCAAATACTGGACTGTCTGGTTCAAAACCAGACACCTGGCAACCCTATATAAGGATTATGAGAGGTCACCTCAACTCCAACTTTGGACTCTACTGGGTATCAGTCTTTCAAAACCCACAACTGAGTTTTTCCTTTGGTTACAACTTTAATCTTTATTATGTGGTGTAAAAGCACCTTGTACACTGTTTGCATGAAGAGTTGTCTATTGCTTCATCCACCTTGTAATTTTTGGGGGATATTCTTTCTAGACCATACATAAAAGCATCAAAACTAAAATGATAATAAACACTTTAGTCTGAAAACAGTATCAAAGCAGAGTTTTTAAAATGAAGCGTTGATTATAGCAAAAATATCTTTTGACTGAGAAGCAATCTAACAAGTCAAAAATACAGAAATAAATGTACATTTTGTAAGTTTCCATTTTTTTCTTTTTCAGTTAGGTACCTGTTAAAATAATGGTGATTAATAGAATATGTAATAATACAATATTTTCACTTCATTTTAGTTACCACCTTTAAATTGTACCAGCGTTCTAAGCATGTGTATAGCGAAGCTGCCAGAGTGCTGGAATTTCAAAAGATATGCAGTGAGGCACCTGCCAGTGCAATCCAGCTGCTGGGAGAATTAATGAACCAAAGTCATATCAGCTGCAGGGACATGTATGAATGCAGCTGTCCTGAACTGGATCAGCTGGTGGACATCTGCCTGTAAGTTTTGACAGCAATGAACGAAGAACTCTCTTTGACAATATGGTTTGAATAGATTGGAAAACATGACATCATTAGCTATTGTAGTTTTAAAATGAAAGAAAAATATTCTTGTCTCTTATCACCAAATTAATCTCCTAAAGA